ACCATCATCAACAATGTTAGGAAAGGTAGAGCTTCAAGAAGTTATTAAGAAGTTTCACAGAATGATAAAGGAATGAAATTTGTATCACCTGCCTCAAAAGCTCTGTCACTTTCAGCACTTCCCTTTATTCCCTTTTCATTTTGAACAGAGAAAGTATGTGAGCATCTAAAATGCCCACGGCACTAGGAAGGAGATGCATAATACTTGCCATCATAGTGTAGAGGCAGATAAGTTTATGAACACATGCATTATTGATCAGTTTTAGGAAAGATGTAACAGGTACCAGGGAGCACAAAAAAGGAATGGTAAGTAATAGGGAGGGAATAAATACTTTTTGAACAGATGAAATGTTCTATGCAGGAAGTGCTGTAAAGGCCTTGTACATCATGCTATCTTAATGAATTTCAACATTTATTCTAAATACCAATAATTCTTAAACATTTTTAGGTAGCAGACTTACTAAGAATTTGATGAAGGTCAAGGGGTTCAAGAATCTGGTCCACCTAGAAAGCCTAAGGTGGCAAGAAGAATTTACTGAAAGGTTTTATGTTAGGGAATGACAGCCAAGGTTAGCAATTTATCAAGATCATCTGGGCAGCAGTTTGAAGGAAGACTTGGTGGCATGGGGTGAATACCCGGATTACTCATTCCCTACGGTAGTCCAGATTTAAGATAATGGGCGGGGAGTTGATGTATGGTTCCAACAACAGAAAATGAGAAATAGGAAGGAAATAGAAATAAAAACATTTGGTTACTGGTGAGTGGTAGTACTATACCATCAAAATACAGAATTTGAAGAGAATTCTGTCTCAGATATAATGATTCTGAGATAATTAGGAAGTCACCAGGTGAAGACAAGTAAATGAAAACTAAATTTACTAGACTGGTACTTGAAAGATACCTAAAGCTGAAAGAAGTCTGATGAGTCACCAACACGTACATGGTTCTTGGAGCCATGAAAATGGATGAATGCCCAAATTAAACCTGTAGAGACAGTGGACAAAAGGGCCAATCACAGAACCTTGGATGACCCCAGCATTTCTAAGTGAGGCAAAATACAAGAGGGGACCCAAAGAAACTGGGATTTGTCTTCTGGAGGGCAGGCCCCTTGTACTACAGGCTTCCCCGACTATGTGAGTGTCCTAAGAACCTACCTGCATCAGTGTCCCAGCTGGTGTGAAAGGCTGCGTTCAGCTTCAGTGAATTTTTTCTGAAGACTCAATACATCTGCCCATTTCATAATGAGTGATTATACCAGTACACCTGCCCATACCATGCTGAGTGTTTGGCAGTTTTTGTCCAAAAACAGCATGATCTCCATACCCCACCCTCCCTATTCACCTGATCTTACCCCGAGCAACTTTTGTTTGTTTCCCTGGATGATAAAAGTCCTCAAAGAGAAACGTTTTGCCAATGTGGAAGAGGTAAAACAGAAAACGGCAGACACACTAAAAAGCATCAAAAATCAACCAGTTCAAAAACTGTTTTGAGCAATGGAAAAAAACGTCTTCATAACTGTATTACATCAAATGGAGAGTACTTCTAAGGTGACTGAATTTTAAATTTGTAAGAATAAATACACAATTTTTAATAAATCTGGGTTTTCTGGGTCCCCCCCTCGTGGACTGCAAAGGATGTAAAAAACGGTCACAGAGGAATAGGGAACAAAGAGAGGCCACCACCACATGAGGGGAGACACTTGCAAAAAAGAAGCATCAAGCGAGGAGAGGACTTATAAAAGTTACTCTTAAACTCACGAAAATTTCCACTTTTGTAGTGAAATATACAGTATATAAATTGTAAGCACCACACTGTGATTATTGCTTTCCCAGAGGCCATTAACCCTCTTATCAATAACATTTTACTCAGCCAAGGCATCTTATTTTCCCTGTTCCCCAACAGACAATTATAAAACTCCTCTAACCTCTTAGTTAAGAGATATCCTGGACTCCCTTATCATTAAGATATTAGATAATGAATTCTCAAAATTTATCTTAATTTTCACTCTTATTATCATACCTCTTGGCTCAGGGTAGGGTACTGCTAGTTGTTTTCCAAGATAACCCCTCAATTTCTGGTGTTAGAACCATCCCAGTTCCTCTAAGATTTTGGACCATATTCCCTATTCCTAAATTTCAAAATCACCTAACATGCAAGTCTAGTGATGGCCTCTTTCAAACTAACTCTATATGATTATATTGCAGTGAATATTATTAACCACTGAATTTTTCTAAAGTTTTTTTTTTAAGGTTTTATTTATTTTTACAGAGGGGAAGGGCAGGAGAAAGGAAGAGAAACATTGATGTGAGAGAGAAACACTGATCGGCTGCCCTTCATACAAGTGCTGACTGGGGACAGACCCCTCAACCCAGCCATGTGCCCGACCAGGAATCTAACCAGTGACCTTTTACTTTGTGGGACTATGCTCAACCAACAAAGCCACACCAGTCAGGGGTCTTTTTTAAAAAGTTTTACTCTTCATTTTCATAATGGTACTCTCTCCCACTTCTCCTTTGTTTCATTTTCTCTGTCTTTTCTAGCTTCCCTTAACTACCAGTATTCCTCACAAAGGCTCCTTGGGTGGCCCTATTTTCATACTACATTCTATACCTAAACCATCAACTGAATATTTCAAACAAATACATATACACTTACATGACTCCCAACATCTAATATCCAGAACTGTTCCACTTAAGACCTATATTTTCAATTCTGTATTCAAAACATCTGCCTCAGCATTCTCCAGGCCCATGAAATCAAATGTTAACTAAAAACAAACTGATCTGCCCCTTAAAGGCTGTATATTTTTCCTTTGACATTTATCTTATAAAAAAACTTTGAACCATTCTCACTGCTCCCTTATTTCTTGGCCATTCTCTTTTCTATGACAGAAACTTCTTTATTATGTGTTCCCCTTGTTCCCAAAGCCTGTTGCCCAAATTCTGCTCCTGGACACACTCTTGTACAAAATACTGACCTCCCAAGTGACCTTCCTGACTTTAGCCTTTCTTCTTTTCATCTTTTCCTATGTCTAATTAAGTCTTCTATTCACTCAATCTTTAATAGTTTCTGCTGCCTACATAATCTAATGCGAATCCCTAGACACTGGCTTAAATACACTGATAGAGCCTTTAGAGTAACACATCATCAGTTAAAGTCCTGGCTCCACATTAATTCTCACTATGTTGACCAAAACAGCATTTCCCAAATTTCTCTAAAGGTCAGAATATGTTGGTGCATTCTGCCCTGGAAATCTGGACTTAACTGGGATAGAGTCTAAAAACCTGAGTTTTGTGTCCCAAGGGGATTGACTTAGAAATTTCGTAAACACTGACAAAATAATTTCATCTCTCTAATTCTGTTTCTTTATCAGTGAATGAAGCTACTACTTACCTTTCACAGTGATTAAATTCAATAATCCAAGTAAAATACCAAGTAAGAACCTGGCAACACAGCAGGTTCTAATCAAACACCCACTCCCTTTACTAACTTTAAAGTCTCTTTCTCCCACTCCACTTTCCCACTTAGGGTTGCTTCCTGACTCTCCTAAGATGCCTTGGTGTTTAGGCAGCTCTGCCCTCATTCTCTTGGCTTGAAAAATATTTCCTAACTTTCTGATTGTTAAAATTCTGTTGATTCTTCAAGATCGAGCCAAAAGTTCTTCTGTTTACTCTGAACCCTTCAGATGGAATACATGCTGCTCTCAGTTCCAAAAGCATTTTATTGCTACCTCACTATTGCATTTCTTCCACTGTTTAATTTTTAATTTCATATATATGTGCCTCACTAGACCAGAGTCTAGGTCATTGACAGCCAGCACCCAGACTATCTGAACTACAGGATTAAAAAAGATAGATGACAGACAGACAGATAACACGAATAAACAAAAGATATATTTGCCATAATTGTGAAGAAAATGCTTACTGATTTAATTATGAAATTCTCATCACTAACAATGATATGGTCAAACTTTTAATGAGTGCATATAATCAAAGCATCATATTGGAAAAGTAGATGGCAGTAGTTATATATCAAACTAGAAGAGCACATACAATAGTATGTACAAGAATCGCTTTTTTGTCCAGTATTTTAAACACTGTAACCACCAAGACAACAAAAGTCCATAAATGTTCACTGCATTTTTTGTTAGTGACATCAACAGGACAGTATTCATATTAACTTGGAAATGTAAATGATATTTATTGTATAAAAATGTTTCATCCAGAATAGGATGAAATTCAATATGGGCAAGATGAAGGCAGTGTAACATTTTGCAACATATTTATTTTATAAAGGCTAAATGATAAGAAAATAACTAGTAACATTGGGGATAATTTAATATAAATTAAAATGCAACAATGTAAAACTTTTTTAAAAAATCAATTTAATTTAGCAAAACAAGTTTTTAGTAACTAGTATTTTTTAAAAGATTTTATTTATTTATTTTTAGAGAGGGGAAGAGAGGCAGAGACACAAATGTGTGGTTGCATTTTGTACGCCCCCTGCTGGGGACCTGGCCTGCAATCTAGGCATGTACCCTACACTGGGAATCTAACCTATGATCCTTTGGTTCGCAGGCGGAGCTCAATCCAAGCCACACCCGCTAGGGCAGTAACTAGTATTTTATAACCCATGAGTCCCTCTTATTTATGAAAGCTGATACTGTCTACATAGCTTGATTATTTAAGTAAATTACTATGTAAAGAGGAAAAAGAACCTACAAAAGATTGGAAGATCTTTCTAGTTTTTTAGCCTTCTATGAGCAAATTTTCTGCCTTCAGTTTCACTTTTTAGAGAAACTTTTACTTATGAGATTTTTGGAAATCTAGCTTAGCGATAATTTGATGTAAATAAAATTGCTAACTCAATAAAACATCTAAAAATCAATACAAAAGTGCTCATTTTGTAAAATCAGAAATGACAGATATTTGATTCATTTCATTTTATTCTAGTATACTTCATTTACTGCAGCTTTGCAAAAACCATGATGCCATACTTACATTTCTATTACAGATCCTACAGATGCTTGTCACAAAAATAAGGCATCATCTTCACCACCAGTCAGACAGTTTGTAGTAACTTCTCTTCCACTGCTGGTTCATCCTGTGCTGCAAAACAAAAAAATTGCAACATCAAGTTCTCTACAGACTAATTAAGATCAACACAATTACTCAACTATGTATGATCCTTTCATTTACTATAATTCAGTGGCAAATTTTATCTAATCAGTGAAAAAATTCAAGACAATGATGCCTGCTTTTACCACTGCTATTCAACACTATACCAGAAATTCTAACCAGGGCAATTTGGCTTGAAAAGATATTTAAAGGCATTCAAATTGCTAAAGAAGAAGTTAAACTATCCCTATTTGCAGATATAGAAAAACTATCTCTATTCTCTATACAGAAAATCCCAAAGAATCTGTAAGAAAGCTACTAGAGCTCTTATGCAAATTCAGCAGCAGGTTGCAAGTTCAGGGCACAAAAAGTTCATTTTGTTTCTCTATCTAGCAATCAACAATCCAAAAAGGAACTGAAGAAAGCAATTTGATTTACAATAGGATCTAAAAGAATAAAATACCCAGGAATCAACATTACCAACTGCTGAAAAAAATTAAAGAGCTAAATAAATGGACAGAAAACTAGCATTCATGAACTGGAAGAGCACAAAGATGACAATACTACTCAAAATGACTATACAGATACAACAAAATTCTTTTAAAAATTCCAACAGCCTTTTTTGCAGAGATTGAAAATCCAATCCTCACACTGATATGGAATTGTGAGGGGCCCCATATAGCCAAAAACAACCGGGGACGGGGAGGGAGGGAAACAAAGCTGGAGAATACGCATTTCCTGATTTTAAAACTTACTACATAACAACAGTAATCAAGACAATGTTGTATTGGCATAACAACAGACAAATCAAGCAATAAAAGAGTACAGAAATAAACCCATGCATCTAAGGTCAACTGATTTTCAATAAGGGTGCCAATTCCATTCAATAGAGAAAGAACAGTCTCTTCAACAAATGCTGGGACAACTGAATATTCACATGCAAAAAGTGAAACCCAGACTCCCACTTCACACCATATACAAAATAAACTCAAAATGGATCAACAACCCTAATACAAAAGTTAACCCACACAAGTCTTAGTAGAAAACATTATAGGTAAATCTCCATATCTAGAATTTGTCAATGTATTCTCAGATGTAACAACAAAAGAGGCAACAACAAAAAATAAATAAATAAATGAACTGGATTTCATCAAAATTAAAACTTTTGGGCATCAAAGGACATAGTCAAGCAAGTAAAATAGCAACCTACATTATGGGAGACTACATACATAAAAAGGCTTAATATCTAAAATATATAAAGAATTTCCAAAACGCAACAAAAATACAAAAGAAAAATTTTTAAATGGGCAAGAGTTGATTAGACATTTCTTCAAAGAAGATTTAGAAATGGCCAACAAGTACATGAAAAGATGCTCAACATTATTAGTCACTAGGGAAATGTAAATGAAAATCATAATTACATGCCATTTCACATCTATTTGGATGGCTACAATTTAACAAAAAAGAAAATAAGCATTGGTGAGAATGGAGAAATGGGAACCCTCATACAGTGTTGGTGGGAGTGAAAAATAGCATAGCCACTGTGGGAAACTGTTTGGTGGCTCCTCAAAAAAGTTAAACTTAAGAATCTCATTTAATCCAACAATTCCACTCCCAGGTATACATCCAAAGGAACTAAAAACAGGAACTCAAGATAGTTGTACATCAACGTTCACTGCACAACTGTTCACAAAAGTCAAAAGGTGGGCACAGCCCAAATGACCAATAACAGAATGGATAAACAACATGGCATATAAACACAATGGATATTATTAAAGCCATAAAAACAAATGTTCTAATACATGCTACAACATGGATGAACCTTGAAAACAGTATGCTAAATAAGCCAGACACAAAAGGACAAAGGTTATGATCCCACTTACATGAAATTTTAAAAATATGCAAATTCAGAGACAGAAGGTAGGTTAGAGGTTACCAGCAACTGAAGATAGTGGTACAGAGTTTTTGTCCGAGGTGATGAAACAGTTGTGGAAATATACAGTGGTGATGGGTGTACAACATTGTAAATGAAGTTAATGACACTCAACTATAGACTTAAAATAGTAAATTTTTCAAAATTTGTATTTTACAACAATAATTTTTTAAGTGCAACGTGTTCTATATGAATAAAGTAGCCTACATGATATGTATTATATAGCCATCATCTTCCTACAAGGAGATACTGTACACATAGACAAGCTCATCAGATTAAGCCCTCTGCTATTTTATGTTTGTCCAAGTTTACAACCATGCCAAACTTCTCAGGATGCCTCCTGTCCACAGAATCCAGAGTCACCAACCAAACATCATGTCATTAATCCTCTTTCTTCTCATTCAGTATTTCCTCCTTCCACTTCATGCCCAATGCAGAAGCCATCATATCATATAGAACTTAGAATCAAGCACACACAATGAGTGAAGAAATGATGGGTCTCACAATAACAGCAAGGGAGGAGAAATCTGAAATCTCCTTTCAGTTCCATGTGCCTCTCATAGTGTGGGAATTTTTCTCACTAAAAAATCTTATTTTAGTGTTTAATGATAAATATTTTAATATGATATATGGCCTTAAAATACAAGTTTATGTATCCCACCATGTTTAACAAAATAATGATTCAAAACTAATTTTCAGAAGTAGCTGACTAAATAGTGTTTCTAAATAACTTTTGTTTTAATCTGACTTTAGAACTTAGTCTTTACACGATATAAACTACACTGTCCTGCTTCCCCCTCCACCCAACCCTATTTCCTTATTCTCTAGGTGCCTATAACTTCAAGGGAACCACAGAAGACTCCTACTCAGAACAAAAACTGACCATTTTTATACACAGAACAGGAGGAAACATTCTACTATTCTAACATCATTATTCTTAACAAAACACTTATTCTTTGAAGTCTCTACCACTGTCTATAAACACCTACCGCTCTTCTCTCTTAACCTTTAAGGCAATGACCTAATGTTTTTACTATTGGTTATTCTCTTCAGGCTAACTCCTGATACATCACTATGAACCTATTTAAACATCCCTGAGAATGAATCATCCAACCCCTAATTCAGAGGTTCTTAAACTTGTCCCACTGAGGCTGCTTGTTAAAAATATGCATTCTCTGCCCCAACCCTAGAAATTCTAGGCCAACAGACATGGGTTGAAGACCAGGAATTTCACTTCAAGTGATACTGATGCAGGTAGTGCTTCACACACAATCTGAGAAACAGTGTCCTCAGTTTTCAGTTCCTAAAATCCTGAGTTCGAAGAACTTCATCCCCTTCCTCCAACAACAAAATATGATGGCTACATTTGGAACTGGATGCCACCTAAAAACTGAGGCTTCTCTAAAACCTTAATCTCATTCTCAGACCACAAGTTCTGGCCCTTCTGGGTCACTAGCTCACTGGTTCCCACGCCTGCTCGTTAATTTCACAAGCCTTCCAGTCTCTTGACTACCACCTGTCCTTTATCCAGTTCCCAATCTCATTTTTTCCCCTGCCCCGCCTGGAGCCTGTTGACTTGAACTGGTATGTGTTGGATGAATGAAAGGCTAACTTCCTAAAATAACTGTTGGGAGAAATAAAACATCAAAAAAGTAAACTTATTTACTCACATATCACAATATTTGAGCTCTAATTGCGAACAAGGCATCCAGCCATGAAAAATATAAAGACATCTAAGTTCTAATCCTTTCTTTAAAATACTTAAAATCTAATAGTGGTAGTTACTACATTTTTACGGTTCAAGCCACCATTACATCTTTTGACAAACACAAGATGTATCCCTCTGTTCACTGGCAATGTACAATTTCTCCAGAATGCAAATAAAAATCTATGAATAAAACCGATTTTAGTAAATCTTGCAAGCTATGATAACTTTTCCAACTTCTATATCATATGGATAATTTTCAAAGTTGACTCTAAATGAATAACCACCACTGAAGGGAGGAAAAGGAATAAAAATCCATGTAGTAATCTAGGTATTACCTATGCAAACTGTGATTCCCAACCAACAATGTCAGCATCAACTGGGAATTCCTTACAAATGAAAACTCTGGAGCCACACTCCACACCTACAGAATCAGATCTTTAGGTGATTCACACACATATTAAAGTTTGGAAACTCCATTAGACCTGTATCATTAACCCTGTGAGATATGACTAAATCCATTTTATAAATGAGGAAACCCAAGTTCACAAGGATTTAACCCAAAATCAATATTGGGATATGGGACTTAAGTATCTTTAAAAACACTATTTTCTTCAATGTGCTGTATCTCACAGAAAAGGTCTATAATAGCAATATCTAATAGAAATATGGTACAAGCCACATATGTAAATTAAAATCGTCCATTAGCAGTATTAATAAAAAGAAACAGATAAAGTTAATTTTAAAAAATGTATTTTATTTAACCTAATATATTCAAAACATTACCATTTCTGTATATACTCAATGTAAAGAAATTATTAATGTGCTGTTTTACATTTTTAAATGTGTGCATGTACACTCTTTCAAATCTGGTGTGATTTTTACACTTACAGCACAATTCAGTACAGACTAGCCACATATCAAGTGCTGAATAGCTCCATGTGGCTAGTGGCTACAATACTGGATGGTTCAGATTTAGGGTATCCTGCATACTGATAACTATTTTTTTAACATAAAACTAGATACTTACTACAAGAATCTTTAAATAAAGGAAATGAATTCCATGTTACTTTACTGACATGTTTGCTGGCATAGATTAAAAAAAAAAATTGCATATTCTGTTGTGATCGAATCTGACAGATTCAAGTAGTCCTAATTCTGTTAAACTGACCCATTAACTCTGGCCTCTGCAATTTACATTATATGGGCACAAAATAAGGTGTAAGACTGTAATATTCAAAATCAGCGTGTGAAGTAGCCCTCAGGAAACTTCTATATTTGAAACCAAAGATTTTTTTCACAAATGGTGGTGGGGAGAGAGAGGCTTTTCCTTTCAACCAAAAATAGAATAGTGTAATTCTAGCTACAGGCCAGAAATAATTTGGCAAACATAAATAATTCAAACATATATAATGCCTGCTGCAATAAATGGTTTATATATTATACACCAAACTCAATATAACTTATGGGTCACTACAGTAAAATGTACACAAAATCTTGACATGCAAATATCAATTAGTTAATGGGTTAGGGTTCCTTCTTTAGGTGCAAATTTATACAGAAATGGTCAGGAAGGTAACATAAAAAGCATAAAAAAAGCATAAAAAGAGAAAAGATTTAAATTAAATATTTCTCTCCCTTAACAATTCTGGAGATTAAAAAAAAAGTGACATTTTAAAATATATGAAAGAATTTAAAGATTATCAGTTAATTTAAATTATTTACCCACTCAAACAATTTTTGATAACTTAAAATCAAGAATATCGTATTATTTATAACTTCTGGCCACTCCTTTATTTGCATACACTGTTATTTTTCTCTGAAAATACCTAGTATTAACTACAATTCTATTTTTCAAGTCAGTTAAAAGTAAAAAAAAGTTTATTTTTCAGATAGTAGATTCAAATAAATATCTTTTTAAAGAACCAAAAAGATACGCATACAATAGTTAAAATATCAAACTATAGAGATTTGAAGACTTCCTGTATTTTCCAACTACAAATAAAATAATAAAATGAAATAGTTTCTACTCTTTCGTTATTCAAAATACATAAAATGGGAATGTTCTATATAAAAGCTATCAGTGACAGAAAAGAAAAATACTTCAAACCTTTGAATTGTTGGTATAGGAAGAAGGAGGAGAAAGGGAAGGCAGAGAAATGCACAAGCGGGGGGAGGGAAGAGGGGAGGAGGAGGGCAAGAAGGACCAGTAAAAGAAGGAATAGAGATAGGTTGTAATTTAGCATATACATCTTTCCATTTCTTAAAAAAAGAGTCCCAAACTGAGATGTAACTAAATGCCCTAATGTTTCCATTTTTATCTTTCCCTCTCATCCCCTGTTAAAACTCAGCTTACAGAAAGGACAAGTCATAATGGTAAACAAACATCTTCCGTGAAAAGTCATTTCAACTCCATGGGGTCCAACACTTTATTGAAAAAAATTATTTCCCTTATTGTACAGCACTTCCCTTAAAAAACATTACTGGAGGGTTATCTATAGCCTTCACAATCTTCATATTCAAGCATTAAACCTTTACATTTTCACCCCAAAATGTGGGCTTTGCATTTAAATAAAACATGAAATGTGAATGTGAACAAATACTGTCCTTTCACCATATCAAATAGAAGTTTCATAGCCCACAATCATTCTGTAAGAAAGGCTCTGCTGCTAAATATCAGTGCAACCCTGGTCAAGTCCCAATTCCTGTGGCTTTTTAGTTCTTTCACCCTACTTTATATTTCTGTAACTCTAAATTCTTAGTACTTTAAGCCATTTAACAACAGGTTTTGTTTTAATTAACCCAAAAGGTAATAAGCCATGAACACTAAATAGTCCATAAGTAAGTACAAGGTGTTGCAGCAGAATGTTGTTAAGATGGTTTCCATACCCACAAAAATTGCTCCTAATCCAGCCTGTTGGGGTTTGTTGTTTTTGGTTTTTTTTCTCCATATATTCAGATTTCTTAGGCACAATCAGAAGCCAGGCAAGAGAATGGAAAAGGTTCAGCACTTCTGTTACTACACTGGAATAAAAAGCATTCAAATATCCAACTGAAAGTGTGTTGGGTGTTTCCCGCTAGTAAATAAACTAATACATAAAATAGTATCTAAACAGACAAATATCACAAAAGGATTTAACATTATCTTCTTCTTCTAAGTCAAGATATCATTTTTGGATCATTAAAAAAAAAACAAACAAAACCCCGTCCCATTCTTCTGGCAACTCAAGTTGGTGGAAACTGAAACAAAATATTTTACCTGTTGACACATGTCTACCTTTCTTTTTAACTTCGTGTCTAATGGCAAGCTCTTTAGAAATACAATTTCCTGGTGATTAGAGTATTACCAAGCTTTTAACAACCAGTAAATAACAAAAACATTCAAATGTCCACCATTATTTTCATTTTGCCCACAACTTCCAGTGGCCCATTTGAAACATAAATTCTAAATCAAAGATTGGGCTTAACAAACTACTCCAATTTAAGGTATACAAAGCTAAAACAAAAAAACACATCCAAAACCTCTTTCTAGAGTGGCTTTCACTCTTTTGGTTTTCTCTTTTAAATGAGATTTACTTGACCTATTTTCATGTGTTTCTGGAACACGCAGGCACTCATCACAAACAATATCTGCTGGTCACAAAAACATCAAAGCCAATATCAAAAATCCTTTTTGTGTGGATCATTTTCTTCATGTGTCCTATATACCATACCATGTCTTTTAAACATCTAAATATAGATTCACTCACGTAAAAAATCTTAGGTCTTTCCAAATCTGTAATCATATACTTCTTTCATTGCCAATTTATACTTTCACATTCTATTTAAAAAGTAAACACGGGGGAGGGGGCACCTGAAATGTCAATCATACAAAGACAAAGCGTTTTCTAACATCTTTTTGGCTTCCTTCTCTCAATTCGTTTCAATATTACAAAAATAGTACTTAAAATGTACGTACTTCCGAAAACTTGCGAAATAAATGCTCACGAAAATGGCATTTAGGAAAAATAAAAGCATACACGAAAACCGATGCGGAGAGAAAAAAAGATCTAGTTGCTAGATGTGTGTGTAAAGTCAGAAAAATTTTGCAGCCTTTCGCAAGAAGCCTACAGAAAAGCAAAATAGCGACGACAATGGGAGACCCGTACTCCTTCAGACGGGATGGGGAGCAGGGAGAGAACTCCGCAACGAGCGACCAGAAGAACAAAGCAACAGCCTCCTCTTTTAAGATGCACTGAGGTTTTGGACGCTCAACTGTACTGAGAGATATAGTTGTTCCAATGCTTTAATAATTATCAAAAACAACTTAGAATATGCAGCGCTGGGCTTAACCAGGACAAGGTGTAGGTACTACTACTCTTCGTATTAAGCAAGACCCAGACACTGAGGAAGCGGAGGAGGAGAAGAGAAAGGAGCAGCCAAAGACACTCCGGAAAAAGACAAAATGCAGGGACTGTACACCCTGGCTGCGATCTAACCCAAGGCCCGGGAAGAGGCCTCCACACGGGAAACAGGATACACCCCCAAACCATTGCAGTCCCTAACTCTGAGGCCAGGAGGACACCACTGCCAACGCAGATTACAGAGATCTGACTGCCACCGAAAGCAGCGACGAGGACCCCGGCGGAAGAGGCTGCGCAGTAATGGCCGCTGCTCCGCCTCTCGCACCCAGACCGTGACCAGCTCCGGGCCGTCGACCAGGACAGGGGCTGCGCTGGTCGCCAGCAAAGCAGAGCCCGTCACAGTCTTCTCGCCTGCGACAGCTGCTACGGTGAGGGCGGCGGGAAGGGCTCAGCTGGCCCATCCCATTCCGTCTCGCGGTGGACAGCCGCTGCCGCGCCGGCCAAGGGCGTCCCCCGCTGTACCGGCCCCTGACCCCTACGCCGCCCCTCTCAGGCCCCCAGGGCCGACCCGGAGCGTGTCACAACTGGAGGTGACACAGCGGGCCATCACTCCTCTCACCGAGTTAGGACCCGGGAGTGGCTGACTTTCACCTTGCCCCGCCAGGACTTCACCCCAGACTCCCACCTCTCTGGCCACAGCCGTGGCCACCTCGCAGTCTTTTCTCCTCGGCCTCCGAGCCCGCAGCGGCCGGGGACGCGCGCGGCCGTCACGTGACCGCCCGTCGCGTCGCGGGGGGCGGAAACAGCGCCGCGCACTCTGCGCACACGTCAACCCCTCCCAGCCTTAGCTCGCCTGTGCCCTAAAGCGCGCTGCCGGCTGCCCGCCTTCCCCTTGCCTAAGCCGATCTGCAGCTTCACTTCCTGAGTCCTTCTTAGTGGTTTATATTTTGCTTTAGTTGTGGTTGGATGCACAGGACTCTGAAAGAATGCGGGTCCCGCAGAGATTTGGGACCTAGGAAGTAAGACACGCAAAGAACCAGCAGGTGGTGCTGCATAGAAATCCTGCTTCCAAATGCAGAAGCCCTTGGATGCCTAGCTAGATTTGGGGATGAACAAGCCATTGGCGAAATACTGCTTGTTCTCGTTTAGCGGGGCGGGGAGAAGGCGCCTTGGACATTTTCTGAAAGGTTGAATAATTTAATCGGAAAAAAATGGATCTTTCTTTTTGGGCCCATTTTTCTTAGAGTAGGCATAGGAAGCTGGAGGAAGAGATTAATTAGCATAAGAATCTACAACTAAACAAATGGTTTATTTTATTGCATGCGTATGGTTTTAAAACATCAAAATCTAGTCAATATCCTCCATTTCATTTCAGCACATGCTTCATATTTTATGGAGCTGATGATATTTTATTAATATGTAGTGAAATGAAGAGGGTGGAAGAGCGTGCTTTTTGTTTTTATTTACTTATTTTTTATTTTTCCCGCTTTCCCCACATCCGTCCAGCCCCACCCCAGAGTCATTGTCCATGCCCGTGGGTCATTCATACATGTTTTTAGATAGTCCCTTCCCCTTCTTTCCACTATTAACCCCCCAACTCTCCCCTCTGGCTGCTTTCCTCTGTTCCATGTTTCTATGTTTATGGTTCTTTTTGCTTGTTACTTTATTTTGTTCATTAGATTCCTCTTATAAGTGAGATCATACAATATTTGTCTCTCACAAACTGGCTTATCTCACTTAGCATAATGTTCTCCAGTTCCATCCATTCTGCCACGAAAGATAGGAGTTCCTTCTTTTTTTCTGCTGTGTAGTATTTCATGTAACTATACCACATTTTTTTGATCCACTCATCTACCTGATGGGCATTAAGGCTGTTTCCAGCACTTGGCTGCTGTAAATAGTGCAGCTATGAACATTAAGGGTGCATAAGTTATTTTGAATTGGTGTTTTGGGTTCCTAGGGTATATTTCCAGCAGTGAGTTCACTGAGTCAAAAGGCAGGACCATTTTTAATTTTGGAGGAAATTCCATACTGTTTTCCACAGTGGGTACACCAGTCTGCATTCCCACCAACAGTGTACTAGGGTTCTCTTTTCTCCATGTCCTCGTCAGCGCTTGTTGTTTGTTGATTAATTAATGATAGCTATTCTGACAGGTGTGAGGTGGTATTTCATTGTGGTGTTAATTTGCATCTCTGATGGCTAGTGATGCTGAGCATGTTTTCATATGTCTGTGGGCTGTCTGTATGTCTTCTTTGGCGAAGTGTCTATTCAGGTCCTTTGCCCATTTTTAAATTGGATTGTTTGTCTTCCTGGTATTGAGTTGTATGAGTTCTTTATATATTTTTGAGATTAAACCCGTGTCTGATGTATCATTGGAAACTATCTTCCTGCATATGGTCAGTTCCCTTTTAATTTTGATGATGGTTTCTTGAGCCATGCAGAAGCTTTTTAATTTGATGTAGTACACTTGTTTATTTTTTCTTTTATTTTCCTTGCCCTAGCATATATATTGGCAAAAATATTGCTATATGGGATATCTGAAATTTTACTGCCTATGTTTTCCACTTTTATGGTATCAAGAATTATATTTATATTTTTTTTAATCCATTGTGCATTTATTCTGGTGTCTGGTGTAACTTGGTGATCTCGTTTCATTTTTCTGTGGGTACCAGTCCAGTTCTCCCCTTTTTGTCTTTTAAAAGACAAACATTCTATGCCAATATCTTCTCACTTGCATTGCTGTTTCATTTGTGATCTCATTAACTATATTCAAGGTTGGAAGTTTTCATTGTCCTTAAATATATAGATGAGTAAATTTCCCATATTCCTCTGAAATGAATGTTTTCAAGGTTCTTATTCATAACAGGTATAAAACCAATCGGTTTTATAAAACCACTGATAGGAAACCAATTCTTGAAGAATACCATCTAGCTCACTGATGCTTATTCATGTAAGGAAAAGTAATATTTTTTTAACTTCTTTAAATATAGTACTATTGAATTGTATGTTCTCCAGCTTTAAACTTAATCCCTTATCTTTATAGTCTCCTTAACTATCCAGTTTTACCTCTCTACCCTACATACCCTATAAACAGCAAAAATTTGATATATACTTGAAGATTCCAACTTCAAGAGATAAATACTACTATTAACTAAAAGCATGCAACATTTGAAGTGCTTTACACATATTAGCTCACAATAAACTATGATGTAAGGACTATTGTTATTCCCATTTTACAGACAAAGGTACAGCTAGGATTTGAATCCAGACAGCACCTGTCAGAGTTCACCTAGTCCAATTCTCTATTTTTCAATTATGAAATAGATATAACAAAATTAAAGGACTTGCTTAAAGACTTTCTTGTTAAAAATAGAACTGGAATCAGAACATAAGTGTGTTTCCTGATCCACAAATACTTTTAATTTAGGAAAAATTATTCACAGTTCTTTAGTTGCTCTAGGCACATATTTAGAACAGGATCACTATATGAATATTATAATTTATATTCTATCTACCTCCCTATCTATTCATCTGCAAGCAAGAATCAACAGGAGCCCTACTAAAACACCCATCCAGATTTCTAACTCTCTCTCAGTCACACCCATAATTTTAGTTATTTCAATCAATATCTCCATCTTTCCTTGTCCGAACTTCCTCTCTATTACGTCTCATATCCTTTTTGCAAATAATCTGTTGGTTCTTCCTTCAAAACACACCCAGAACCTAACTACTTACAACCTTTGTTACAACCTACAAAATCTCTTGTTTAGATTATTGCCTTAGCCCAGGGATTGGTTTTCTTGCTTCTGTCCTTGCTTTCCTTTGAGTCTATACCCAAAGCAGAGGCCAAAGTAAACTTATTAAAAAGGAAGTCAGATCATACCAGCCCTCTGTTCAAAGTCTTCCATGGCTTCCCAAAACAAAGGAAAACCCAAAGTTTAATGGCTCTAAGACTCCTGTAGTTACCTCTCTGACCTTACAAACTACACACTCAGCTTAGTGACCCAAGAAGACTCTGCTCAAGCTCTCAGCCTCAGTCTTTGAAGTTGTTTTGTCCCCTGTTTGGAAGCCTCTTTCCCATTATAGCTTCCTCCCTATGTGCTCAAATGCTGTAGTTTCAGTTGGTCCTCTACTTGCCACCCTATTTCATTATCAATCATGACATCCCTCACTACTGATATTTCTTATTCCCTCCTTCACTTTTTTTTCTAATGCTTTTCACAATGTAAGGAATGATTTAGTTTGTTTATTCTTCTTTATTGTGTATCTCTCCCCTTTAGAACATAGATCTCTCAAGGGCAGGAATTTGTATTCTATTTTGTATCCCAACTGCCAAGAATAGTGCCTGACACATTTAGAGAGGCTCTCTGCAACCAAATTTTGAATGAATGAATATGTGCACACACATTTATATACCAAATAATATATAAATGAATAAAAACTTCTTGTTTGTCAGAAATTATATATGAAGAGAATTGAGTGTATAGAATAGTATGCACCCCACCTCTACCAGCCCACCTGAGAGTGATGAGTTTCTATCTGTGAATATTACATAACAGCACCTCCCAACATTATCTGAGTGTTTTAAAACTAATTGCTTTTGAGTAATTGTTAAAAACTCAAATTTTCAAATGATTTACTTAAACAAATAAATTAATCCTAACAGATAGAAGGTATTCCTGTAATAATGTTACTGTCACTTTCATTCTAGTTTGCTTCATTGAATCAAAGATAGAGGAGTTGCAACAGACTGGTAGGAATTTCCCATTTTTCATAACCCACTGTCTGCCCACAAGAGTATAAAATACTTTCATGAACACTGCACATGAATATCTCCAGGCATTCCCTTTTCCTCCCACTATCTTGCAACACCCCAAAATAGTTGATATTATTTGTTTGCTTAATAATAAAAATATCCTTTTTTTATTAATATCTGAAGACATCCATGAAAACATGCATGAGGTAATTACATGTGTTATAGTGGAAACTATTGAAAACCATTGGTGAAGCTAGTCTAGGACAATGGTTTTCAAACTGTTTCTACTACTCCCTACGGTTCTTGAGATCCTTTCAGAGGGACCCACAGGTAAAAATTATACCAAGACTCTCGCTGCCTTGTTCACTTACTCGCTTTATCTCTCCAGTGTACAGTTGAATTTTCCAGAAGCTACATGATGTGTGATGTGGCAACAGATTGAATATAGATGCAGATATTAGAATTAGTCTGCATTTCTTAAGCCAGGCATTAAAGAATTTCACAGAGCATAAAATAATGCCACCTTTCTCACTAAGTTAACTTTGTTTTGAAAAATATAGTTATTTTTCAGAAAATACTTATGTACTTATGTTAACACTTACATGGCTTATTATTTTAAATAATAAATATTTTAATCAATTTTCAGTTTTGTGTCTGATTTGGTAAATATTGATAGATTAATACATATAAACAAGAGTTCTTTTGACTCCTCTATAATTTTTAAGAGTGTAAAGGAGTTCCAAGACCAAGAAGTTTGAAAACATTGATCTGAGGCTATTTTGTGTACCAACCCTAAGCTAGATTTATTCTCACATGCCAACAATCATCTGATAACTGTGGACACAGCTTTCTCATATGTCTGGAAACAGAACAAACCAGATTCAGGAATGTACCAGTCATTATAGCTAGCAGATGAATAGAAATAAAGCCAAGGGAAAGTTTGGAAAGCAAATTTTTCCACTTCAGTTGAAGATTCTGTTCCAAGAGCTGATACATAGCTTGGTCTATGTCCTACCA